AGCAAACGGATTGTATAAACAGGCCGAAACCAAGGCCCCAGCATCGCACGGTCAGGTACCATGCAGGGGACCTGGGGTTTTCTCCCTTCTTTCCCCTCCATTCGTTTCGTCGCGCTGGCCCTTGCGGCAGAACAGTCGGCCCAAAGTCTAAGTTCATCCGCCGTGCTTCATCCCCCTCCACACCATTCTGCCATGGAATAAAAGTAGGAGGAGCTATCCGTGGGGTCAGGTTCCTCGGTTCAACCCTGCCCATGTTTGGTCGCCAAAGGGGCTACACAGCTCACTTCAACTTCCTATGGAAACTTTCAAGGTCAGAAGAGATTCATGCACACGTGGTGAAGAAAGCCTTCAATTGTCGGGCGAACCCGCCCCCATGGCAGAGAAGCTGCTCGCTGGCCAAAGCTTCAGGATCGCCGACCGGCACCCTAAACTTTTTTTCTTTTTTCCCTCCTACTCTTTTCCCTCCACTGACTTTCGGCACTTAGGCTGGGTTAAGTTCGGCTTCTTTGTCTCCGTCACACCATTCAAATGGTACCCGGCGCGTTGGTTGTCGTTGTATTTGGACCATCTCATATTACCTTGCCCTAATGCCGTTTGGCAGCCAAACTTGAGCTGAACACATACGGTGGGGTCATGCGTGACCATGAATCGATACAGAGTCAACAAGTCAAGCAGGCCCCATAGCAAGGCATCACCTGGGCGACGACGATGTCTGTCGTGTCACAGGTTGCCGGCTGCGGTGAGTGGACTGAGACGTGACATGAGATACTATTTATGAAAACGTCTGTTGACGATGATCACAGTGTGATTGCCGGCAATCTTGGCATGCGAGGGAAAGGTCGCAGTCAAGTTCCGGAATCTCCTCCATGAGCGAAAGCTCACCGACCACCAATGCGACCATTGAATCAAAGATCACCACACCAGGATGTCTAAGCTCAACGCCGGGGAGTTTGGAGCCCTTGCCGGCTGACATAACAATGGCTTTCTTCGCGTTCGTGGGCGACTCACCTTCACCCATGACCGATGTCTTTTCGCTGTCATTCATGCGGACATACCTCGACACGTCAATACCAATTCGTGCCGTTGTAACAACAATTGGCAAAATATGCCTAGAGTACTCAAAGACGACCGCTTTAGAAAAGAAGCAAAAAGCTGCAGCCACTATCATGGCCCAAGACCGATATAAGTTGAAAGAATTCCTTGACGTCCTCACGTCTCCCGAAAGCAGTGACCAGCACTTGATGTTGCTGTATGGGATTCTGATGGCTTATGCCGAGGTGAGTTGGGACTTGAACACTGAGAACACGCAGCATCTTACCCTCATTTTCTATCATACTCAGAGCTGACTGTAATGGCTTTGAACAGACAATGACTGGCCAGTCATGGCTCTTCTTTCAGGCCACCATGAGAAAGTTGACGGAAAAGGTTCAACAGCAGGTCCAGGAGAGAAAAAGAGCACCTTTTTTGTACTTTGACAAAGGATTGCTGATGAACTATTCGCTCATGGCAACTTACCACTGTCTAGTATCGTTCGAGGACACCTTTCTTGTCGATGTCGAACTCTACGATCCAAAGCTCTTTGACAATATTGATGCGATTACTAGCCAAGTTCGCATTAACTCCGCCATATTACACCACTACACAAAATACGTGGCCAATTTTGCGCGACTGCACCACAAGTAAGAAAAGCCAACTCTCGGGGAAAAAGTCAGTCCAGTGTGGTACAAGTCAGCTCATGATTTATGTAGGGCAACGAAATGGGTGCGACAAGCGCGTCACGTTTTGAATGACCGCCATCTAGCTGCTGAACCACCACCTGACGAAGAGCTCAGGAAGATACTATCAGAAGCTGGGCTTTTGCAGCAGGGAATGGAGATTATCGAAAGTTCGGCAGCGGTCATTGATGTGATGGAGAACCTTCGAGGAGATAGATACGACGATGACGACGAGGCGGACAAAAGCGACTTCGGCATTCTGCGCGAGGCCTTTTACCATTTCTCGCTAATGGGAATAACGCGAACATTTTGGGATCCGGCGTGGAAGCTTATTGACGAGGACCTGCCGCACATGTCAGACATGCCGGATCTCGAAGGACATGGATTATTCGTCCTAGAGAGGCTAGAACAACGGGCTCCCGTTGTCGGGCTAGAGTCATGGAGCTATCTTGTTGTGCTCATGGGCGTTGCCTTGGAGGCTAAGAGAGATGATATCCGGCAACGAGTGGCTGTCCTGCTCAACGACATATTGGGCAAAGGCTTTGCCATCGCCGGGGCTTTATTAGCTGACGTAAAGATGATTTGGGGCATGGATTATGCATCTGGACACGAATGCATTGGACCTAGCGCGTGAGGGAGAACGAGGGAGGCGTATATAGCATACCTATGCAACTTACATCAGGTCAAGATACCTGAGAGACACTGCGAGTACCTGGATTTGCATTGCAAAGCGACTAGTATTCATGTAAATTGTACGCTCACATTTTAATGAAAGATATGAATTCTAGCCCGTCATTCGGTTCTCCGTTCAACATTCGCACTAAAATACGTGTTAATTTTTTCCTCAGTTACCGCACGAAACTGCCGTCTTTCCACGTTACTCAGGTACTTATACACCGTATGCATTGCCGAGGGGATACAATTCTGGCCGCGATGCGATGCCTTTCTTATCGTTACGGATAAATCTTTATACTGGCGAAACGAGTGGCTTCGGCTTCATATGTAATTCAATTGGTTGACATGACGTAATTTTGTTCAGAGCTTCCCCCGCACAAAAGTCCCGCAACCGGCGATCGAGAACCGAATATCGCAACGGGCAGATAATCAGACCAAGAGCCTCGATATTGATTCGTACATCTTGCTCTTATCTTTAGAAACATCAGCTACAGCACTATTTACAATGGCACCTCCTATCTGCACAAAGACGTTCAAGCTGAACAATGGTACGATACCCATCGCCATGAATAATGACACGCATCTCATGAGTTCCCATGGGCTGACCGACTCTCTACAGGCCTCGAACTCCCCGCCGTGGGTCTGGGAACATGGCAAGGTAGGGAGAGCTCTCATACCGAACGCGTCCCACTGAGTCTGACAGCCTGAAGGCACTCCAGGATCAGATGACTCCAAGGCTATGGAGGATTCTGTCATACACGCCCTCAACTCCGGATACCGTCTCATCGACACCGCTCAGCTCTATGGCGTCGAAGACGTTGTGGGCAGGGCCATTCGCAGCAGCGGCGTCCCCCGTGAGGAAATCACTGTTGTGACCAAGTTCTGGGGAGAGTGGCATCACGATCCCGCGACGGCCCTGCAGATCTCACTGGACACCATGGGCCTTGACTACATCGACGTGTTCCTCATGCACTGGCCCTGGGCCACAACTCCGGCACCGGAGAAGAAGGTCTTGAAGAAGTGGGAGAGCCCAACGTTCATCGAGACCTGGAAGTTGATGGAGAAGCTGGTCGGCCCCAAGTGCAGGTCAATTGGCGTCAGCAACTTCATGCCTAAGGTCATGGATGAGCTGCTCAAGGAGGCCACTATCGTGCCTGCCGTTAACCAGGTTGAGTTGCATGCTTTCAACCCAAACCTGAACCTCGTACCTTACTGCAAGGAGAAGGGCATTGTGGTCACGAGTTGGAGGTGAGCTTTTTGATACCCCTAAGCGAGGATCGAGGACATGTTGGACAAAGGGACGGGGCGCTAATTGAGACAGCACAATGGGTGGATCGCGTCCTTCCCAGAATGAAATTCTCAACCACGAGCTCTTCACCAGCATCGCAAAGGCACATGGTATCTCGGCAGGCGTCGTGTCCCTCTCCTGGTGCGTCCAGCGCGGCATCGCCGTCATCCCAAAGAGCGCCAAGAAGGAGCGGATTGAGGAGAACATCCGCCTTGTCACCCTTACCGAGGAGGAGATGAACAAGATCAATGAGGCACATAAGACGATCAAGAAGGAGAGATTCTCCAACGGAATTGCGGTGCAGCACATGGAGATCGATGGAGTGATGACCCAACAGGGCTGGACCTACGTCGATATGGGCTACGAGGACGAGAATGGCAACTGGCTGGCTTAAGATAGCAGACCGTCAGTCGCTTTTGGTGGGTAGCATCGAGAATTCAGTATAAACCCACTTAAAGGATAATACATTGCCGCTGCTTCAACAACATTCATTATTCGTCCGTAATCATATTATCGTATCAGTACGCTTACAAATGTATGGGTCGTTTGCTCCCGTTGTACGCAGAGCCAAGCCTCTGCATTCGCCACCGAAAGCGCCTATAACTCTACATGTCAGCGGAGTTAGAGTAAAACCGGGGAGGCAGCCAACTTATAGGTGCTGGTGCACTAACGCACCTACGCAGAATGTCTAGCTCTGTCCCTACCCAATGAGACACCTTTCCGAGGATCTTTACCTTCTCTACAGATGAAAAGCCAATTATCACTCCTAACTATTACTGAACACTCGAGTAGCTAGGTTGGAATAAAGCAAACTGTTCAATGACGGGCCGACTCACTCGTAGTGCCTCGCATTCAAGATAAAAAGCAGCTGTGTGAGCTAAGCCAAGCCATGCCTGGCCATAGCACCGCCTGAATCGGGGAGTGGACCACTAGCGTCGCAGCGAAAAGCATAAAGTCAACCACAGCCTCCTCCCCATCCTTCTACGAAAAATTTCCCCTCCATATCGAGAAGATTAAACAGCCAGAAATCAGTAGAAGCCGCCATGATGGACTTGTCACCTCAGGAAGAGGAGCTATCATTGACGAGGACAGGATCTTCGTCGACGTCAGAAATCGTCCCTGTATCTTTAGGACAATTGCCAGCGCAAAGTGAAGCCCTAGAGTCGTCAGAAGATTGGACTGGCTTGACGTCAAGCAAAGAGCGGAGGAAACTTCAAAATCGACTTAACCAAAGAGCACGTCGTTAGTCCGCCCCGAATTCCCTGGCTTTCCACAAGTCATTATACGCCATCTAACTGGATGGATTGCATCTAGGTAGAAGAATGAAGCAGGAAGTCTTTCGTCAGATGAGTCAACTAGAGGGAGTGATCAACGAGACCATAGCAGAAGCAGAATCAGCTGGCCGTTTGCAAAACGGTACCACCGGAGATGAAGGCTACTCGCTTCTGCCATGCCCCAAAAGGAGGAGCGAGTTGATGATCCTCGCACAGGAGGCACGAAGAAATTATGCCCTGGGAACCCCGGCTCCTCGACAGCTAAGCGCCCTCGTCAAGCTCAACCTGCTCACTGCGCTCTGGCGGAATACGCAGATATTGGGCTTCAACGTACACTCCATCTGTGAGGATGAGTTCATTTCTCCACATAATCTCCAAGGCCCAGACATTCCCTGCTATTCTCGACAAGAGCTCTCGTGGCCTCCATATTTACGTCCAACGGAAGCGCAGAAAAAGATTACACATCACCCTTTTCTTGACGTCTTCCCGTTTCCGTCACTAAGAGAAGCCGGAATTCGGGCAGAAGAGCTCGGGTTCTTTGACGAAGATGACTTTTGCCTCGACATTTTCCATCTCGATGACAAAAAAGACGGCGTCGAGCGACCGCGTATGATAGTCTGGGGCGAGTCTTGGGATCCCCGCGGTTGGGAAGTCAACGTCGCGTTTCTGCGAAAATGGGGCTGGATGGTTCGAGGCTGCCCGGAGTTGCTAGAAGGCACGAATTACTGGCGTGAGAAAAGAGGCGAGAAGAAGTTGAACTTCAATCTCAACCCGTGATGGCGATGTGGCATCGGAGTAGGATACGTCATTTCACCAAGTGGGCTTGTTTGGGTACATGTAGAGGTAGAATACATGAAGTTGCAAGTTCAAGAGGCGCGGACAAGAAATTTGTACTGCTTCAATGATTTTTAGCAAGGTTCCCATCACGTATAATTCTCCCATAATCCAATGGCAAGTGATTGACACGCATGACTTCCAAGAAAGCTCAACAGATATGAGAATAATAAGGCGGTTGAATGACTTCCCGTGAAGGAGTCTACACTCATTGATTGGACCTCCTTGAATACCCCCTTAGAAGGGCTGGAGAGTCGCATGCCAGAAAAGTTCGCCAATAGCATATCTGTCCGTCAGAGGCTTAACCTCCTCCTTCACACACGTCTTTTCCACCGGGACTCCCTCAAATCTCGCCCCAATCCATGCAGCAATGTCAGCTCTCGCCGCCTCCAGAACCTGGCCGTGACCCATGCTCGGGTAAACTCTTGCATGAACAGGGCTCTCAGGGAATGAGGTGCAAGTCTGGTTGAAGTCATCGAGTGTAAGGTTGTTAGGCGTGATCGTGTCGGTCTCGCCCGAAATGACCAACATTGGCGCCGCGATAGAGTGCGGGCCTTGGCCGTTGTATCGAACTGCCCATTCGTCGACGATAGGAAGCGTCAACCAGCTTGTGTTCTTGTAGAGTTGCTCCGGGGTGAAATCACCGACGATAGCGAAGCCAGACGTGAAACATGACTTGTCGAGGGCACCCAGACGCTGCAGAGGAATCTCTCCAAGGTAGTCCGCAACCTTGATCTGGTCGGGGAAGAGCAGAGACAGAGACTGGAGGAAGTAAACCGAGAAGGGGTCGTGGGCAGCCTTTCCTTGAGCAAGCGCGAGAGAGGCGGGGATCAACTTCTGCGGCCGCAAAGCAGGGGCGGCAGCCACGGAGCCGATAAACTCGCCGGCCTCCAAAAGAGCTTCTTGGTCAGGCTGAGCCAGACGCTCGTTGGTTCTCCATGCCGTCATACCACCTTCGCTGTGGCCATAGACCACCCACTTCTGTCCCAAAAGGTCGCCGATTGCCTTTCTCGCGGCAACGAGAGAGTATGCGACATCAGCAACGTGGAGCCAGCCAGACTCGTACATGAAGCCCTGGGGAATGTCGGAACCCTGGCCAGCATAGTCGGGAGCGATGACAGCATAGCCAGATTCGGCGAGGATGAAAGGGGCTTTCCAGTCGTAGTACAGACCCTTGTTGTTGGTGGGGGCACACAAGCGGCTACGACCGGCAGTTCCGTGGGTCCAGACAACGGTGCGCAGCTTGTTCTCTTCGGCCGTAGCACCGGGCTTGGCGAATGGATTGGAGAAAGGCAGGAGAACCCAAGCGGATGCGGGGATCGGCTTGCGGTCAATGTCTTCGGTTACATAGAGGACCCTTGACAATGACAGACTCGCGGGGATAGTCCAGTTGGAAGAGAGCTGCGCAGCGGGCACGTTCTCCCACCGCAGGATGTCACCAGGCTTGGCACCGGTGAAGTTGGAAGGCGTAGAGTAGAACGGGTCGGACACGATGTCGCTTACCCACAGGGAAGCTTCAGCTTCGTAGGTGGTTTGGATGGCGGTTTGGCAGGCTGCGTCGCAGCCCTTCTGACATTCGGCATCGCAGATGGGGTCGAGTGCAGAGACGATGCCAACAAAGGCAGCAGCAACAGCTACGAAAGACTTCATTTTGCCGGGATGATCTTGAGTTGGAAAGAAACACAACCCTGCTGGATGAGGAACGGAAGGCAGTTATGATCGCTACCAGCACCGGGTCTTTATACAAGATCGAGGACGGAAAGGGGGTTCATCTCATTATCTGATTATCGACCATAGATATGATTACAGGAGTTGGGCTCATTGATCTTGAACCTTAATTCCACGCTTTACCTACACAATACTACGAGCCCAGGTTGTTGAGCAGTCATATTAAGCATACGTGCGAGGCAAGCTTGGTAGTCGCCCCAGTGTCGCATACAACTTCCCCTTTTGGGATGGATCACCCGCCCCCCGTTGCAGCGCATCCATCCCGAATTGTGATCGGGGTCCAGTCCAAGCCCGGAACCATGGTAATCGCCTCAGCTAAACGTTTGTCGATAAACACTCTTGAGTTGCTTTCAGCTTGAAAATCGGATTTTCCCAGTCGCATTCATTCTCGGAACGTTTCCGACCCATTCCGTCTGATCTTCTGTATGCCTCCAATCGTGAGAGGCGGACTTCGGAGACTTCTGTCAAGCTGGCATGCATTTCACCCCGCCAAGCTATGATTATATCGGCCTCCCACCGGCATCTATTCCCAGTGATGCGGTGCTACTCCACCCTCAAAGATATCAGCTTCTGATCGGCCGGCCCTGGCAAACAAGGTCATGCACATCATGTTGTATGGCATTGCATCCTTAGGTTCTTTGCGTACCTTAGAGAGAATGAACCGATGATCCTTTGGAAGTATCTCGAGCCGGAAGCATGGTATTTGCCACAACCAATGCGTCTGGTATCCTGAACTTTTATTTCCCAACTTGTGTATTCCCTCGATCTTACGATGCAGTAGGTAGCCCTGTCAATCAGAAATCGCTTTGTATGGCGTACCTCTCCTGTGTTTTCTTCGCTGGACTGCTACATCATCTTCCCGAACCTATTGGCCCTTAATGTATCAAATGGCCAGAACGGCGCCTAAGTCACGCAATGAAAGGCGCTCATCAAATCGTTTGATACAAATGAGTTAAGCAGCGGAAAAAACTCCAATTCTGTTCTTGTACGTGCCTTAATAGACATATAGGTTATGAAGGATGACTTTTGTATGTTCTCATTACCAGCGAGTCATATTTTAAGTAGGCAACCTGATAAGAATTGAGGTATTGCAGTATCAAAATTGACATCTACGGCGTTTCATAACGTACTTTGCCCAAGTCTCAACTGCTATCCACTACTTAACCCTTTCCCTGATCACAAGAAATTATACTGCACAATTCAAATATCATTCACCATTTAGGGGTTGTTGGAAATGCTTCAGCGGAGACGCCAGGCGAGCAACAGCAGCATGGGGTTTACTACGGCTGCTTTCAGTTGAATGGAGATGGCAATCTCATCGCTGTCGGAAATGCTTGCGGAGATGCAACGGTACGCGGTTCTATGATTATACGCGACTCTTCGATTGTTGTTCGAATTTCCAGGGACAATTATCTTTCTTTGGCTTGGATGTCGGGTCCAAACATTCAACTACAAGAGCGCCACGTGAACACTTACTTTGAACGATCGCTTCCGTCATCAACACGCTAGGAAGCCGTGTAGGCGTGACCGACGAGATCTAAGCGACTCCTCTTCCCCGCACCATGTGGCATTCCGGCTTCAACTACCGACAAAACTATCTTGGCTTAGCCATTTTCCCCCCAAAATACACCTGTTCACCATCAACTCCACCTCCCTATCTGCGTTCTTCAAAATGGAGAAGACAGATACAGCTGAGGTGCTGGATGTGTCGCAATGGCCGACGGCGGCGAAGTTTGTCTCTCGGTGTTGCGAGTTTTTGAATGAGGTGCAAGATTTGTAAGTTGTTTCACCTAAGACATGATTTATGTGAAATCAATCCATCCAACTCACATCGAATACACTAGAACACCCGGTAAAGACCTGGAGACGCGACTCAATCAGCAGTTCGGACCTGGCAATCAGTACTACGAAGACTTCTGTTCCCATATCAAACAGGGTCTCGAAGAAGGATGGGTAGCGCAGACCGAGATTGACGGACGCAAATACCGGCGGGGCAAGATCGCACTTCCTTCGGCGGCGACAAGATACTTCAGCATCACGACTGTATTCATGGATAGCGATACTGAGTTTAGAGGACAATATCACGCCCATCCTTACGGCGAGATAAACTGCGTCATCCAGCTGGATTCTACGGCAGAACTCAAAGGAATGCAAGGCTGGCAGGGTGCTGGCTGGACATCCCCCGGACCTGGAACACATCACTTCCCTGAGGTCCGGAAAGGAGCTTTGGTAGCACTTTTCTTTCTGCCTGCCGGTCGAATCTCTTATAATGCTGAGCCGGGCGCCCCACAGCCTCTATCGGTGTAGATATGAGTACATTAGCAGAGCATGATTAAGTCGACGGTTCAAGGCTAGAATGTGATCATGAAAGAATGACTTGAGGTTTCTACGTAATTCTAAGGAGTGGCACAGCTCTAGTCCAGTATTTGGATTGTGGAAACTTTGCGGATAACAGGATTAGAAAGAGGCATGTTAAAGAAAGTGAGCTTTGCACGGAAAAGACCACGAGAAAGCAAAAAAAGTAACACGCTAAGGAAAGTTACAAATCTCAACATAATCCATGGCACAAAGCCCAGTCGAACCACAGGATCTCTGAATCTCTCACAATTAGTCAAGAGTTTTCAATCCTCGGTATTGGCTTTTTTCAGTCTCCTCAGGCTGGGGCCGTTGATCTGCCTTTGCACAGTTCCATTCTGAACAGGACCTTGGCCCGACAGCATGTTGCAACCGGAATAGTAGGCATGCAAGACCGGAAGCCCACACAAATCGCGGTCGTAAGTGGCGTGGATATTGTTGATTTGTTCGCCAGGCCCAGACTTTGTACAATTGATGAACAGGAGTGCATTGTCGGCAGAGTTCGAGGGCTGAGTCGTGTAAGACGAAGCTGTGGGATTTGCGTTACCAAAGTGGGTGTAATTGAAGTGAGGTCCAGGTCGCTGCATAGCCATCTGGTCAAGCAGATTTGAGTCATTCTCGACGTACGCGCCGTTTATTTGGTTGACGCCTTTACCAGCCGTGCAGTTGTAGTACATGGAACGACCTCGGACTTCACTTCCGAAGGGAAATTCCTGTTGGGGCCAATCTTGAGAAGAAGGGCGGTCGCCGGTAGGAAGGGGATGGCCCTGATGTTGCTCAGAGATGTGGCTTTGTTCGGCTTCGCTGGTCATTCTTTGAGGGTGCATGTAGGTATGAAGAGCAGAGGCAGGCTTCCAGTCTTGAGGCCCATGCGAACTCTTCACAAGCGCGACTGAATCACCACTCGTTGTGGATGATGAACCACCGGCTTGTTTTTCGAATTCGGCAGCATCGTGCTTAGGACCAAGCAAAAGGCTCTCCTGCCTGTTGCGTAAGGGACGGTTTGCCATAACACGTATGTCTGACTGTATTTGGTGAAGTGTGCTGGCCTCGATGTTGTGGATAATGAGAGAAAGGTGGGACTTGCGCCTTTCAAGAATATTCAAGGTATTCTTCAGATCTCTCTCTTTGCGAAGAAATCCCAAGGATTGTAACAAACGGCTTCTGCTTAAAATTGACTCAATGTCGTATTGGTTGACAATCGCCTGTAGCGAAAGAGTCTGTGAACCAATCTCTTTGGTCTGGAGAAGGGGATTGAGAGATATAGAGGTGGAAAGATCACAGAGTTCTTGGAGATGTGTTTGATAATCTTTTAAGGCTGATGGCGCGTCTTTTATCTTTTTCATGAGCTCGAGAATCGCAAAGCAAGATACCGCAAGCTGGCTAGCAGCAGCCGCAACTCCGACGATTTCGGCCATGGTTGAGAGACCGTGGAGGTGAGTCAAGGCCTGACAACTCCAAGGCTTTGTGGTAAGGCTACTGATCACCACCAGGCGGTGAGAAGGGCAGGCCAATAGATATGTCCGCACAAGAGATTCTTGCACTTTGAATCTCAAGATAGCATAGTGGTGTGGCCGGAAGACATGCGGGCAGACATATGCGCCGAATGAAGGTTGCAATAACGTGGCAGGAGATGATCAAGTCGGTCTCTGTCTTGGGGGCCGCGTAGTGAAGAAGTCATGACATGCCTATGGGTGAACTCTGTACATGTTGAAGATGAACAGAGATACATTCCACGTTGTGATGTAGGAAGAAATAAGGCTGATATGCAAGACCGGGCAGGGTTTATCCGGAAAAGGGGGCTGAGTCCATAGAACGGCTTCGTTCGATTGGTTTTGGAAGAGCCTCACCAAGAAGATGAATTCCATGTCATTGGTTTCAAAGCAGCCTCTAGAGGCAATGTCGCCATGCTGCTGCTTTTTTGTGGTGTGGAAATTCAAATCTTTCCTCTCACCGCCATTAGAACATAGATCTTGGAGATGGAATGGGTGTACTCACTGCTTTAGCTCAGCTGTGGACTTGTACTGTCATGAATTGCGAGTACTTGAATACTAGTGGACAGTTTTTGGTCATCTGGAGACTTGAACTTTTCTATCTCGTCAGAGTCAAGATGCCACCACAGTTAACGGAGACTAACATCCATGATGTTTGACTATTCTCTTGAGACCTAAGGTAAGGTACTTGAATATGTGATGTTTTGGTACCGAAAAGCACTCGGCTTAATATAGAGATCCACTCGCGTTGCTTCCGGATAACGGGAAGTTGAGAACCTCCCCAATTTACATAGAAACTCACACTCTTCGAGGCTCCGAATGAATGTCCCTATGCAAAAATCTTGAAAGGATCGACCAAGCTTGGGTTTGGTGTGCTGTACATTGGGGGCGAGACTTGGGCTTGCTCTTATACAGAAGATGGTGGGCATGGTGCCCGATGCGTGTATGCTGGCAGCCCTGTTTGCGAGGCGCTGCGATCAAGCTGATCTCGGGCATCAGACGTGAAATCGTCTTGGGACTCATATACTCATCAATTCTTTCCATACAAGATACTTGAGAAACAACAAGCGGGTTGGAGTTCATTGTGCTAAGTACTATGTCTTGCAATGTTATTGATAACACGCTGTGAAAAGTGATACCTGCACCAACGCGAGATTATAAGTCTGTAACGATGTTTCGCGTCTCGCTTCCGCTCGATATCTTCTTACCGCGGTCAGAATGCAGGGTACCTTGTGCCCGACACAGAAGCGTTTGCTCCTCCCTCTTTCACAATGGTACCGGACGCGTCGAGATTGCTTTGCCTACCTGCTGCATGCAAGACTCTTTGTCATTGGGCAGACCCCTGGACACTCACCACTTGGCGCTTCGCACCAGACGGCCCTTGCTTCGACTTTGCCGCAGCGATGGCCACACAGGCATGGTCCCAGCCCTCCCACAACAGAAAGATTGCCTAGTCTCCCGTGAATTCTCCTAACTTGGGGTGTCTTGAGCTAGGCTAACCACACCACCTCCGAGTCATTACGACGACTGACTGGTCAAGCGAACAACTGGGTGGTTCGATTCGCCGACAATGCCACCGAAAACTACGATGGACTACGACGCTGCAGGAAGACAAACTGAGTCTACATATCCGTACACCGCATCGAACAATGTTTGCTCCGCAGCCAAGAATCAGTACAACGGGCCTGTCAAGATCAAAATAAACGAGGGAACGATCATCAACAACATCCGACCGGTGACAAACAAGACTTCGTACTACATCACAGTTGTTCCCGATGGACGATTTCCCACTGGCACATCAAGCCCTTCCGACAAGCGCGATACGGAAAATCCGGTTGAGGAGGATATTTCCCATGGTTCATCCAAGACAACACCCACTTCCGACGGTCGGCAGATCTCGCTACCCAGCAGCGTTGACCAAGCCAAACATGCACGTCTCCCGTATTGGGTTGCTTGTTCTCCTCGCATTAGCTGGTTAAGGACGATCATTCGCCATTCAAGCCTGCGGGCTTACGGCCTTATCTGCGGATTTCTGATGTGGTGAGCTGCACGACGAAACTCCAACCAAAACGCGAATTCCGCTAACACAAGTCATTCGACAGCTTGATTTCCTACTATATCGGCACTCTACGTCACTCCGAAAGCATTCGCTAAAAGTGCCTGAGCACTCCGATCCTCTAGTAAGCCTGATGCTTCGGCGCTGTTGAGCAGCATACACACCTCCTCATACAGTCTGGTCGACTGGCTGAAGGCCTATAATTACTGCAGGACTTCACCGGAACCACGGAATTTTGTATTGCGGAAAACAACACTATGTGGATAGGGCGTGATCGGCACTGGTCGAAGTCTTGAAAGCAACATTTAGAGAGCAAGTCTACACATGTTCTTGGTAATATCTTCGTCTAATACCTCAAGAATTTGTCATATCCAGAATAGAGAGCTTCTTCATCATGTACTCGTTCGGGATCTGAGTCACTCCGTCTCTAGCGGTGCTCAACGCAGCTTTCTCCCATTCGTCGCAAAGACGGAGCTGCTCTTGACATTTTTGCCTGATGACCTCAACGGAGTCAACTCCAATCGGCACCCTGATTGGGAACGCCTTGTTGGCTGCTAAGCCCTGCCCTTTGATCACATCCCAAATGACTGGCGGTAGCTTGTCCACCGATGATGGGAGGTTTGGGAAGACTTCTGTCGCGATTTTTCCCATAGCTTCACCATACAGGCCTTGGTAGTCTGCAATAGTGGGGAAACCAGGAGGAGGTCCCTCAGACTGAGGCTTGTCTTCATTCTTGTCGTTTATGGCAGTATTGACACCACCGGGCTCGAAGATAACGGCTTTGATACCGAGATGAGCAGTCTCCCTCTGGAGACTCTCCACAAACACTGCTCAATGATTAGACTCGTCGTCTTATTTCATTCGATCCCCCTCATCTGGTTTGGGCCACTTACTTGTGAGTGCACCTTTGGCCATGCCATAATGAGCCATGAATGGAAAAGATGCCCAGCCGAATCCAGCACCGATAAACCCAAAGGTACCTGATTTTCTTTCACGAAAATGCGGAAGAGCTGCCTGAACCACCTTCACTGCTCCAAAGAGGTTGGTGTCGAACATTTTCTGAACAAATTCTTCGCTACAAGCTGTTCGTTAGTAGGGCCCCTTCGTTTCCTACATGACATGAGGTTTTGGAGGTACTTACTCCGCTTCTTCGATTGAAGACAGGAGAGAGTAACCGGCATTGCTAATAACGAAGTCGATGTGCCCAAAGACCTCGACAGCTTGTTGCACCTGGGCTTTGACATCTGCAAGCGGGGAGGTTACATCGAGGTCGAAAGGTACGACGTTGTCCGACTTCTTGTCTGCGAGCCTCGCCGTCGCATTCCGACCTGTTGCAATGACCTTGTCGCCCCTTGCGGCGAACTGTTCCACGAGGGCAGCCCCTATGCCCGAGGTGGTGCCCGTGATAAGCCAAACGTTTGGTTCCTGCATTTCGTCGATTTATATGTTCCGGGTCGATTAGTTTTCAGTGTAGCTACAAGTTAGGATAAGTTATCTGTGCGAGTTTGACGGAATTGAAGAGGTATAAATGAACAACATAATGAAGCGCAGGGGACGTGGTGATAAGCATCATAAGCTTACGACAATTGCGGAGAATTCAGTCTAACGATAATCCTCAAGGAACAAAGTGCATCAGACTACGTCATTCGTCTTACCCTACGGTGTCAGCAGAAGGGGCCTTCGGACACGGGGTGAAGCCTGAAGTACCCTCGAGTCCGGCCTTAAAAGTGGGCTGCGGCCTTCGGGCTTTGGAGCCAAGACGGTCCTTTCTGAGCCGCTGAGCAGAGATGCCGGTGCTCCATCGGAGCTATCTGATTCGGCGCCGTTTCTACCAACCGTCAGCAGTAGGACAGGAGTGTGCAAGTTATGCTTACGACACAAAGGCTAGTCAGCCCAAGCTAGTGAATTTTCGGGACTCTGCTGATGATCTACCTTACCTGACGTGACTAATACCTTATCGAAGTCTACTCCACATACGAATGTCGTTGTTCATCCCCGTCCGTAGGTATCTGTTAGGATTATGGGACTTCAATATGCGGCTCCAATAAGAAAGTCATTCATTACTAGTCTCTGTCCAGTAACTTGTTGGAACTCAATCCGGCTCCTCTATTCGCGTCAAGCCCGTTATATTCAGTGTCCACTTTCTTCTTCCACTGAGCGTAGGTAAATGGAAGCGTTGGTGTTCCCCATTGCCTTTCCTTCAACGTCTTTACTATTACTCACAGAAAGCGAAGTAGCTCGTTCGAAAACCTTCCGGACTGACAACAGCAACTAACGCAGGTACGTGGACTCGGGATGGCATGGAAGCATCGCGTATCAACCCAATTTCCATTCCTTTCCAAAATCGCTTGCCCGGCACCTCATGATTGGGCGGCTTCGAACTCGGCTCGCAACTGTCCCTACCAGGGGTGTGTGGATTCCAAGCAACCAAGCAACGGTTAAACACGCTATTGGGACTGTGAGTTTGACTGGTTTCTTGGAAGTCTATTGGCGCTTAAATCAAGAATGCGCCCTTGCGCCATGTGATCATCCCAGCATTGCGGGTGCTTCCGGACACCCACGCGATGGCATCATGAACAAGGGGCAATAACAGGTTCGCGACCGACTTGTGGATTTCTCCAGATGGTTCTCCCCGCAGAGCAATGTGGCTCTCCATGGGGTATCTGACCGTATCTACCGAAAGAGGCCTGTCTTCCCCAGGCGCTAACCCCGTGAACGGACGTGATTGCACCGTCTGTGGGGTTTTGTGTCCCCGCATCGTGAGAGAGCTCGGTAAGACGCTACCCCGACTCGGAGCTAGACAACTAGCCGCGCCATAGAAGAGCAACGTCGATATGAAGCTTTGTTGTTGATTCTGAAGAACTCGTTTGCGACGGAACTCGAAAACTCGATGCCAAGGCCCTGACGCCAATTTCGATCACCTCATCGCCACTGACATGAGTATATATACGATGGCAGTTTCGGACATGCCTGTGATGCCGTGTGGAGTGAACGACGACATTGCTTCTGTGGACCCACTCAACTGAATCTGAGAATAACTTCAAGATGCGCGTCTTTTCCATTCTCGCCGCCGTCGCGTCAGCTGCTGTCGTAGCTGGCAACCCTGTAGCCCGCCAAACGTCCAATTTCGCCGGCTACCTGATCTCGACCTTCAGCGACGCCAACCCGAAAGTCCAATTTCACTTGTCGAATGGCAACAGCGCGTCTAGCTTCAAGTTCCTCAACAAGGGTCAGGCAGTCCTCATGTCGACCGTGGGTACCAAGGCTGTCCGTGATGTCTACCTGACAACAAACCCCTCGCGATCAGAATGGTACATAATTGCCACTGGTGAGTTGACTTCAACCGAGATGCTAGAGTAATTGAGCTAAGTCTTATAAGATCTTGATATCAATGCTTCTGGCTTCAACTGGGACAAAGCCACGAGAACTGGTAGCAGGGGCATCGTTGTCTGGAAGTCCGCCAACCTCGTTGACTGGTCTGCTCCCACGCTAAGAATCGTGGAAGCCGACACCGCTGGCATGGTCTGGGCCCCGTCAGCCGTTTGGGACGATGCAAAGGCTCATTGGTACGTCTTCTGGTCCGCCCGACACTACCGGTCCACCGACACGGCCCACACCGGCACGGCAACGCTCGACCGAATCCGATACACCACGACAAAGGACTTTGTCACCTTCAGCCCGGCCCGAGACTATCTTGCCTTAGCGGACACTCCCCTCATCGACCAGGAGTTCCAGTACTTGGGCACATCTGGCGCCTATGCCCGCTTCCTGAAGAACGAGACTACCAACCAAGTCTACCAAGAGGTCACTTCGAATGGCATCTTTGGCACTTGGAATCGCATTCCTGGCTACGTCAGAAATGAGAGCCCTCGCGAGGGACCTGCCTCGTATGCCGACAACACCACCCCCGGGCTGTACCACCTCCTGCTGGATGACTACACTCAATATGTGCCATTCCAGACCAGCAATATTCAGTCGCCTAATTGGCAGGCTGGTAGCACTTCTGGCTTCCCTTCTGGACTGAAGCATGGATCGGTTACGCCCCTCACTCAGACTGAGTGGAACGCGCTGAACTCGAGGTTCCCTGCTTGAAAAAGTCCATGAAATATCTATGCACAAGCATGCATCTTTTCTGTACATATTCTACATCATGAACTAAATGAAAGCGATCCTCTGATATTGAAGCCTCATATTCCTGGACCTGTGCCCTTCATTGCAACCCTGGATCATCAGTGTCCCGATAATGCCACTTCCGTACACTATCAAAGTTGGCTATCAAGGAGACAACGTTGGGGTAATTGGCTGATATGATCAGCTTATTTTCATACGCTTGGTGAGGTTCCGGAATTGGAAAAGGCCTTGCCAAAGACATCTAGCACCCGCTTGTCATTAAGTCAAGACGCGTCGGTCGATGTGGCGTCCCTTGAGCGACCGAGCTATTGTGACAGATCCTTTGAAGCTGCGGCCTCCATCGAAGTTCAGTAACATCTTCACTTGAGGCGTAGAGAAACGCCTGGCGAGACAGGTAGATCATCTTACTAGTATTGCTCCAGCTCAGTAATCTTCAATACATTCAAGCTATCACGTTCGTGTTTCGGCAAAACGGTGCCGACAAGTACATTTGCGACCTGCAGCTCTTGCTGTGACCCATCACCTGTATCAATTGCGAAACTGTGTTAAAACCAACTGTTCTAGCCCGAAAGGTTACCAGCAAAGACCACAAACATGAGAGCTCCGAATGCTTTAAGACTCATGATTCAACAGGTCTGCACGGCAACATGGAAGGTTTGGCACGGTGGAAGATTTGCACGTGAAAGAATCAATACATGTGGCTTGAAGGCTCCCCGCCTCGGGCTTTTCCAGCCTGGAGGTTGTCTTCTTGCAGCGGATAGTACCGCGAGTGCGTGCAGGACACACGGGCTGATTGGTAGTGAATCGTATCCGGTTTACCGGAAGCGCAGATCCTTCACAACACTCGACTAATGCCTGTAACACTCGCCGAAAGAGCTCGGGGAAGTGCGCCGGTGGCTTTGTGCTCCCTCGTTTCCAGCCCGAAACAATAGGCCATAGATTAGCCAAATTCTTCAATGGGAGCAAAAGTGTGGCGTTCGATGTCTATAGCCGCCCCCAATAGGTCGCCTGAAATCGCCATGTAAGCCTACGGCATCAATGGCTAACTGTTCATCCACACACATTGGCCCCGAATTGTGGTCGCAATGAGTCGGCTCTGGGCCTGTGGGTTTTAAGGATCCCAGCCGTCTGCGTTGTGGCGGCTGAAGAACATCGTGGCGTGACCGCATGCGGTGATGATACTTCAGATGTTGTTTCCTCGGTAGTTCAGGATCGCCGGACATGGCAAGCTTTCATTGTTAGTGTCTACCTTTTGGCGTTCCATGAATCTCTCTACATTCCATTGTCTTTAACGTGCGAGATCCCGGGCCATGTGTCCCGTGGCACCCTGGCATTTAGTTTCCAGTTTCCGCAACGACTTGACGAATTGATCCAGTGTTTCGTGTTCAATGTCGGCCTCGAAAGCCATCCGAGTTCAGAGTTCTGGAAAACCACGTCTATTCGAAGGCCGTCCGTTACAGAAGCTCCATCGATAGGGACGGGAGAACTGACAAGAAGTCGCCATGCACAATGAAAGCTTCACACGAGGGGATCCAACCCCGCCATACACGGACGCCACAAGAGCTCCATTGCTCATTGGCATGACTGCAGGGTTTCTCGGAATTGCATTGATTTTTGTCGCCCTACGTGTCTATGTGAGGGCCGTGGTGTTGAAGAAATGGGGTTTGGACGACACTCTCCTCGTCGTCTCATACGTAAGCACTTGCGTCCTATCAGAGCCTGAAGTCCAGAGCATTGGAAAAGCCAGACGCTAATTAAGCTGTACTAGGCTTTGACAGTACTCACTGGTCTTGTCTTTTCGATATGTGAGCTTCTTGAATCCATGGCAACACGAGGGAGAAGACTTTGACTAACGATTGGAAAGGCACCATATTTGGGCTTGGGATGCATGTCTGGACAGTTCCCATTGAAGTACAGCAGAATGGTCGCAGGGTGAATTGGTTCTTGTAGATTGTGAATATGAATTTAGGAATCTGCCATGCTAACACCTGCTACAGGCAACGATCGCTGCAACTTTATCATACCACATTACCTTCATTTTCGTGAAGATAGCTTTACTCCTTTTGTATCGACGAGTATTTGCTCATCCCACGTTTTGTCTTGTTTGCGACGCAATGCTAGGCTTTATTGCGGTGTTTGGTATTGCCGTAGTGGTGTCATCCGTCGTTATCAGCGCACCAGGTTGGAGAGGCGACACTTTCGAGTTTGAGCGTTACGACCAGGGGGCGTGGTGGATGGCAACAGCTGCAGTTCACTTGGTGACCGACATGATCATATTCTTCATGCCGATTCCGCTTTTGAGCAACTTGAATTTGAGACGAGCTCAAAAGGCTGCGCTGATTGTTACATTTGGCGTTGGATTCATGTGAGTTTGTGATTAATGTTCCGGTGAAGCATTGCTCTTACTGATTCTTTGATTTCAGCACGACAGCCATCTCTGTTGTCAGGATGTCTACTCTTACTCATGTATTCACAGCTGATGTAACGTGGGATGTGATTCCATCCCTGATCTGGTCCGAGGTTGAGCTCTGCTGCGCCGTGATTTGCGCTTGCATACCGACACTTCGGCCTCTGCTTCGGTCTCCGAGATCTACTTGCTCGCAATATTACAACCGACAACGATCTGAAGCAAGCGCTGAGGCGAAACTATCTCACAAGCGGATCAATGGGGGAACATTCGGGAGCCACAGTCAGCAAAGCATCCAAAATACAACGGCGATGGATCTTGATGTTGACATGGAGATGGGCTTTGAGGCGAACATGGAGCCGGAAATGCCACCAGAAGCGCCCTACAACCAGAAGGGGAACATTCATGGGTTGACTATTGTGACAGACATCACTCCAGCGATGCCGGCTGGAGAGTCGGATGATGGATCTGACGTGTTTGGGCCGCTAGATGAAGAGCTCGTCACACCATTGAGCCCGCCTCCGAGGTCTTATACCAGCCCTGCAAGGCTTCTTCCTCGGTCCCGGCCGTTATCAGGATCATCCAACGAGCAGTGAGGAGAGTGGCGCTAATGATGGAGAAAATAGGGGGGCCGGTTTGTTTAGCAAGGCGTTGGGGATCATTAGATCAAAGCAGTAATACCAGGGTAGCAGAACAGAGCCAGAGCAACAAGTCTTTGAAAAGTGATGCAGTAGCAACTTGTGAATAACATCAAATTGAGGGACACAGGTTACAACGGAAGAAGAAGGAATGGTGATAGGTGGCAGGCATCAGGGTTCCTTCCATAGGTATTGTTTCCAGAATGAGAAGGGCAAGTCCGAGGTGGACACGGTGGGCCAAGTGGACCCTGAAGAAAGCTACCGAGTCAGGAACATGTGGCCTCGGCGCACCTGCGTTTTTCGGGGTCTCGGTTCCGGGCGGGCCGCTAGACCTGATAAGTTGATCTGCACGTGCTGCGCTAAACCTCCGATAGAAGGCGGTGGGCAGTCCGAGGCATTGGAGGTCTTAGATAAGCCGGCAAAATGGCAAGTGTCGCCCGCCCGCACGTCCCCGCCATCGCCGTCTCCGACAGGACACCGAAGTCGATAACTTTCCGCCCTATTCCACTCCTCCCGCCCGTACGCCTGTCCCTCTGCCACATTGGCTCTTGACGACACTCTTCATCTCCCTGGTATTCCACAATCGCCGATCTAAGCAGTCTCGAAGCCATCCGCACAATGTCAAACGGGAACGGCGAGCACACTGCCGCGGCTGCCAACGGTTACCCCGCCAAACCCCACTCATCCGAGTCGTCCCCGCGGAGTTTCCAGGAAGTGTGCCAAGAGCTGAAGGATAAGGTCGACGCTTTCTTAGCGGATGACCAGAAGACGGATGTTCTGCGCAATGTTCAAAAGCAGCTGCGCGCGTCAATGGGGGTCGTTGACGAGGCGTTGGCAAGATACAGGTGCGTGATGCGTGACACGCCATGTCAGCTCTTATCTTGTGTCCGCATGGGTTGCTAATGCGCCGAGGCAGCCTGGACCAGATTTCAATCTCCTACAATGGAGGAAAAGACTGTACGTGCTCACATCTTGCATTCTCGACATGTTCCCTGCGACGTTGCGAATCGTTCGGATCGAGACATGGCACCGCATTTACTGTCGCATACCGTCATTTGTCCTAGCCTGGCGTATGATGCTGACATACCACTTTGACAGGCCTCGTACTCCTGATCATACTCCTCGCCGCCCTAGCACGTCGATACCCTTCTCTCCCGAAAGCCTCCCAAACGAACGGGTCGAACGGCACGACTTCCTTCCCTCCTGAATTTCAGGCAGTGTACATCGTATCGAAGCACCCATTCGCCGAAGTTGACGATTTTGTCGAAACCACCAGCGCCGAATACCATTTAGACGTAAAACGATATGCCATGTCAATGAAAGATGGACTCGAGGCATACCTAGCAGACAGACCAACCGTAAAAGCCATTTTCGTAGGGACGAGGAGGACAGACCCCCACGGCGAGAAGTTGACAGATTTTGACCCCACGGACTCCGGGTGGCCTGCCTTTATGCGGGTGCATCCTGTGATCGACTGGCATTATGGTTCGTAACCACCCCTGTCATGTTGTTGTGTAATTGCTTGCTGACACTTCTACGCAGCCGAAATTTGGGCAGTGAGTTGACACATTATGCCGGGCCTTTGCTACAGTGGCGTTATGGGCCTTATTTGTTACTGTTATAAGGATACTGACCGAACTCTAGTTCATCCGACATTTAGAAATACCATACTGTCCTCTATATGATCAGGTAAGATGATTGGTTCAGAGAACCCAACATTGGGTGACTGACATCTTCAAGGGCTACACGAGTTTAGGCGGAACGCAAGATACCCATCCCAACCCTCAGCTGAAGACTGAAGGACAGAACGGTGCGGGCTTCCGACCTGCGTACGAGCTTACGGAAGACGATGAAGAGAGATTAGGTCGCGATAGATGAAGGGAAACCCAACGACTTGTCGATATTGATTTACCGTATTCAAGAGAGTTGGATTGAAATCCAGAGTAGCGCATAATCATCATGGAGGAGCCTTTTGTATAGAGAGCGCATAGACTTGCCGCATCGCCACCAATCTACATTGATTCATCTTCAGCTCGCTGCGATGTTCGCACGAATCACAGCTACCTTGTGGTGTCGGTGGAGGCTAGAAGCCAAAAGCTGACGGAGACAGGTTCTGATGCATTCAGTTTTGGACCATCTACGGTCTGTCCCACGAGAGATCTTTGCGACATGAGATCTGACGAGGGAATACGAATTTGGCCCTCGAAGGCTTTCATTTCCCTCATCTTCGCTTGGTGCTATGACGACGTCGGAATCGAGGATCCGCCACAACGTTCACATCGCTGGTTGTATCCGCTCAAGAGGCAGTCGATATGTGGCTTTCTAGATCCCAGGAATTACCAATATGTTATCATCTGATTAGCTATCAACTACCATGCCCAAGAAAAGTGCCGATTTCTCCATTCCCATCCTTGATCGGCTGTCTGTCACCGGTCCCCGCAATGTCACCAAGCCCCGCGCGGCAATGTGGACCTTATCGACATATTACTGGTGCCTTATCATCGGAAGCCTGGCCCTCGTCATCAGAATATCGGGTAAATGGCTCGAGTCACATCAATACGGACGCTGTCTGCTATAAGACGTCAGTGAGCCAAGGCGAGATGCTTTTGAGAGGGTGCGGGCACTAGTGTCAACCTACAGGACTTGGAAGCACGCTTTGACTGGGCTTGCAGTGTATGCTCCGCTGTTAGTCTCATGACCGGCGCTTAGCCTTCATCATGATGCACTCTGGAGGTGGCTTTCCGGCGGCTCTGTCGATTATCCTTCTGCTCGCTCATGATGTTTCTGCAGGACCAACGGTGAATGTGTTGAACGGCTCCTATGAGGGCTTGTCTCTTCCCCGCTATCAGCAGGATGTTTTCCTTGGCGTTCCATATGCACAACCTCCTACTGGCAACCTCCGCTTCAAGGCACCTCAAAGCATCGACTCAACGTGGAATGGCACTCGCCCTGCGACAGAGTATGGAGACATTTGCATGCAATACACCGTGAGCGCAGACCTGTCTGTCAATCTCTCGGCTTGAGTCATTGGTACTAACCAAACCTCTAGGCTCCTCCTAGCCACCCAATGTCTGAAGACTGTCTGTCACTCAACGTCATCCGCCCGAGCAGCCTCGACAGTACCGGACTCCTTCCTGTCGCTGTGTGGATTCATGGGTGAGTTAAATAATATCCCACAACAATCTTGTCTGAACAATGATGAACTAATTTGCCACCGTAGCGGCGGCCTATACGCAGGTTCGTCCAGAGACAACAACCTCACAAACTTTGTGGACCAGGCCTCTGCAGCACAGAAGCCTCTCATAGCCGTTTCCATCAATTACAGACTTTCGGCGTTTGGGTTCTTCTGGGGGTCTGACGAGGTGAAAGCCAACGGCAGCGCCAACAACGGTCTGCGGGACCAGCGCCTGGCCCTCCACTGGATCCAAGAAAACATTGCCTTCTTCGGCGGCGACCCGCGCCGTGTTACAATTTTTGGTCAGAGCGCCGGAGGCTTGTCTGTCGGCAAACAACTCATTGCCTACGGAGGCAGAGATGACGGCCTGTTCCAAGGCGCGATCATGCAGAGCGGCGGCATGGCCGAGAAGTGGCCCTATAACGTGAAGGACCCAGCTGCCTACACCCGAAATCTCTACCGGAACCTGACAGAAACGACTTCTTGCTCCGAAGCAGCCAGTCCGCTCGAATGTCTTCGCAACTTGCCCGTGGGGGTCATTTCCGCCGCCCTGAACGTGAGCGCCACGCCGGTGTTCTCGGGCACAGGTCTTGGTCCTTGGCTGACTCAGGTCGATGGCGATTTCCTCCAAGACGGGCCGATTGCGTCTCTCGAAAAGGGCCATTTCGTCCATGTGCCAATCATGTACTCCACCACCACCGACGAGGCAACCGTCTTTATGTTTGGTGGAAAGTTGGACACGGATGACGACTTTAGGGCTCTGGTCGCAGCAGGGGGTCCAGATGGCTCAACTGTCTCTGCTATTGAGCGACTGTATCCTAATGCCAACGGTACCGGGCTTCCGGCCGGGTACAGTCCGACTGCTGAAGACAATCAGCTATACGGATCTCAGTGGAAACGCGGAGTCGAGTTCCATACTGATGTCGTTGAGACTACTTCCAGGCGTATGACGCTGAAGGCCTGGGCCGCTGCTGGCGCGGAAGCCTATTCAGCTCGCGTCAACCTGTTGCCTCCAAGCACCACTCCTCGCCTGGGATCTCACCATTCCATGGATATCTCTTTCATATTCGACGCTCTTGACGAAGAAACCCTTGGCGAGTTACAGTTTGCGACGGCATCAAAGCTCATGGGTAGGACATGGGCGTCTTTCGTATCGGATCTCAACCCGAATAATCATGGAGGTATACTAGGCTTCTTCCTCACTTGCAAACCCTGATCATCTGCTAACGCGATTCATTTCAGTCCCCGATACCCCTATGTGGCCGGCGTGGACTGCCGAGAAGTCGAACAAGACCGGCTTCAATTTCGTTTTCAACGCTAATAGCGATCCATGGTCTATGTCATTCATCGAAGTGGATGATTATCGTCTGCGGCAGACAACGTATTTGGCAAGTGTCATGCAGAGTCAAATGTATTACTAGAAAAGAGAGCGGTAGTGGTAATTGGCCATCATTAGCTGGAAGATCCAAAAACATGTGATTGATTTAATCACAAGGTAATGTGATAATATCTGGTTCCCGAATCATACTCTAGAAGAACCTCTGCTTCCATCTGTTCCACATCTACCACTACCTGACGCCACATGCTCAGCTCATATGATTCGGCCATGAAGCCAGGGAGGACCATTGCGCAGAGATACTTGGTTCCCCTCGTCGAAGTAAAGCCTGACCTGTTGACCAAGTCACCAGTCAGATCCCTCACAGTTGGTCCGACAGCCAATTGAGGACATAGAATGACAAGCATGTTCAGCCCAGGAAGGCCCATGGGAAACGTCGAAGGTGGACTCCAGCGCACTACCATTCCAGGTCGTATGCGCTCTTTGAAAGGGATGTCATTTGCCTTGGCATCCGGGTCTACGCTAGAGGACAGCATTTCCTGGTTTATGGCTGTCTTACGGCCCTTCCCCTTGGCAGGCTCCGCTTCGCTCTTGCTTTCCGTCTTCTTCCCGCCCGACTTTTGCGAATCGATATGCAAACGCCAAAATTTGGCGTGAAAGGCGCGAGCTTGATCTTCATCGACTCCTGGACTCTTCAAACAGCGGGCGAGGAATTCGGGCGCGGGGAGGCGGAGGAGCAGCGAACCAGTCTCGGTGGGTGCGACGAGCTCGCCAGAAATGGCAGGGTTTCCAGACTGCAACAGGTCAGCTTTTCTTAGTGGTCGGTCTCAAGAATGAACTCACGTTGGCATCGATCCAGGTCTTTAACCGTTCATTGTCCCAAGTCGCAGGCGTCTCGGGGTCATAGGACTGAGCCTTGGCCTTGGGTAGCAACACCCGCAACATCTCGGCATATTTCAAGGTGTTTTTGCCAGCGCCAGCATCTGGAAGACTGGGATTGACACAGGCAAGCACGACAGTCTTGCAGCTACGTCTCCCCACGGGATCAAAAACGTGCTTCAGAATCTTGGTGAGGGAACTCTGCCGGAATGGTATATACGTCGGGCTCTTTGTCTTGCCCGTCAGAGAAGCCACATCGACGGTTGCTCTGCCCCTGATACAGTCCTTCAGCACCGAGAGGCTGGTGTTGATCTCCCGGGCCTCTTTCATGCGGTCGGGTGTGTGGTTGGCAATGTCCCGGGCGGCTTCTGAGCCTGCCAGGTCGATGAGGTAGAGCAGTCCGTCTTCGGCTGTTGGTATGGGACTTTCGATACGGATGCGACAAATGGCGTGAGAGCGAGATGATGCGTCATTCTTGAACGTTGATGCCGTGCGGCGGAAGGTTGCTGCCTTTTCTATGAGCTCAAGCAGGGCGGCTGCTTCGGTGATTTCGTGTTCCAGGGCACCGGCAAGCTGTGTGACACCGAAAGAATCTTCCAAAACGGAGATTGGTTTCCGAGAGTTCAGGAGGTCTAGAGCATCATATTAGGCGAAATAAGTAAAGGGAGATGTAATTCGACATACCAAAAGAAGAGTTGCCAGCCAGCTCAATGATGCACGCATACACTTTCCGCTCTCCCTCCAAACCGCCGCTCATGAGAGACTTTGCGACCAGCTGCTCAATCTCGCTGACTGTGAAGGTTTTGCCAGAGCCAGTCTGGCCATAAGCGAACACGGTGCTGACGCCGCCGCTCCATGCCCAAGGAACCAAAGGCTCAACCAGATCTCGGTAAATCTGCTCAGATGTATCATATGGGCCATAGGCTTTATCAAGCTGTACTGAAGTTGTCTGTCGAAACGTGGTCAATTGAGATCACGATGTCTGAAGCTGTGGGGAGCAAGTCGTTGCTTACCGTAAGCGTGGGAGGTCCCAGGGGCTTGATGTGCTTTCGGATTTGGTGGATATCTACAGCGCCGTTGTTGTTGGGCCTCGAGAAGACGCCACGGATAAGGCCTGCGGACACTTCATCCTCCAAAATTGGCCGAAGTCGAGCTGCCACGATCATGTCCGGGTTCGAGGTGGTGTTCGGATCCTGTGCAGCGGCCAGGTCTTTCTTGGCTACTTTGGCGCTGAAGGCCTCAACGGAGGCCTGGTACCAGGACGTATGTTTGATGTGATATTCATCCATGACGATTAATGTGCAGCGTCAATCGTGTACTGTAAAATAAGAAGAATTCCCAATGGAACTCTCTGGATTCAAGAATATTTCACATTGTATTTGAGACTTTCGACTGGGACTTATATCTCGTGAAGTTCAGTCTCCTTCACTCGTCGTTAAAATGTTCGCATCTCGTCTCAGTGGGTCTTCTGTGCTGGTGTGCTGAATC